TTACACTCTGAATTCACTCCCAGCTTCTTCTTCAAGACCTTACAAAAATAATCAACTCCTTTCATTCCTATTATTTCAATGTCTCCTTCTCCAATGTCTCCAATCTCTTAATATAGAAACAGGTCAAAATCACTTCCATCTTAAAAACAAAGGAAAAGCCTCTCCAGCTCCAACTTCCCCTCTGCCTCCAAAGGGGATCAGTCATACAAGAAACTCTCATCAGGTGACAAATATAAACATGTGGGGAAGTCACAGAGTTTAGGAATTCTTACAGGCTTTGCTTCTAATCTCTCATTCATGTTCCCTTACCAAAGGGCTCCCTGAGACAGAGTTCCCTAGTCCATGCTCCTCAGGGAAGGGAAAGCTAGAGAGGCAACAGAAAAAAACAAAAACAAAAAACAAACAAAAAAAACAGACTGACGCCCCAAGAGAACAGTAGGTATGTTGCATTTCTGAGGTCCCTTGGGCTAGATGATGTCCTTTTACCTGGACAGTAAGACATATCCTTCTTTCTTCTGAGTAGGATGGCTGCACTCTGAAGGTAAGCGAAATATGAGCAGGTGGCTGAACAGAGGGGTGTGCTCATTGATTCAGAGATTAAAGCAGCAAGGAGGAGAGACAGAGAAGAGGGATGTGACTACGGGTATCTAGCCCAGGCATTACATCAAGACTTCTGCTAAACTGTGGCTAAGGTGTAAATTCCAATTTCCAGAAAGCCTCAAGGATGAGTGGATTTGTTTGTTTATTCTTATTCATTCATCCATACATTCCTTTCTCCCCCTCTCCAATGGTTTTCAGTATATTCACAAAGTTGTGCAACCACCAACACCCTACTTCCAGAACATTTCATCACCTCCAAAAGAAACCCTAAACCCATTAGCAGTCATTCCTCATTTCCCCCTCTCCTTAGCTCCAATCCTTCGTATCGAAGGCCTGGCTAGGATAATCCTGACATGCTTAGTGGCAGAGCATTAGAGAAGAAAGCATTAGAGAAACAAGATGATAGAGAAATGGTGAACGTCAATTTTTTGTGGGGTCTATTGGAAGCCTGAACAGCTAAAAGCTGAATAAAGGTCCTTGCCCGTCTGGCTAACAACTTCCTCGCTCAGAGATTAGAACACAGCAATAATGCTTATTTAATTGAACAGAATGGGTGGCTATTACACCAGACTCAGATCTCATCCAGTAACAAGAGAGTCACCATGCCCTGGCCACCAGGGAGGAGAAGTCTGAATATAGACAGCTATGTACCTCAGGTCCCATACAGGCAGAAGAAACTATGACACAGGAAATGGGCTCAAACTGCAAAAGCTACAGGACATGGAAGAATATGTAGGTTATCTAGTATCTGAAGGGTTGTCACATGACAGACAAAACTTGTGTAGGCTGCAAGGGGCGTATATGGGACTAGTGGGTGGAAAGTTACAGGGAGATAGCATTATTTCAGGTCATTATGGGGAAGGAGTTCCTAATAGTCATGTAATCTTCAGGCCAAGGGGCTGCCTATAAGGTAGAGTGTTAAATGCAATCTGTAATTCAGTAAGTGATGCTGTAGAGGTCTGAAAACCAGAAGATGGTGTGACAACTGGTGAGGTCAACTGTGAGGTGTGTTGCAAGTGATCTGTTACAGCAATAAAACTGAAGTGTGTGATTTACTGTCTTTAGATTCGGGGTTCTCAATATAACACCACTCTTATTCACTTGCATTATTAAGTATTTTCTTGAGCAAAAGTGAAAGACTCTGTGTTCAAGGTAGCAACCTGGGTACTGTCATGGGAATGTTCCACTCATGTGCTTATAGGCTACACGAGGTAGAACATTACCAGCTAGATGTAGGATCCCTTCCAAAGCTGAGATTCAAGGGTAGGGGCACCTCCCTCAGCCTTCCAACCTAATCAGGACCTACTAGAGAACAGGTGTCACTGTGTTTCTGCAGAATTTATCTTCAGACTGTTCAGTCTCAGTCTCCTACCTATAGGAGATATTGGTAACAAGTCCTGGGGTTATATCTGAACTCTGTAGAAAGGGAGAGTGAGAACTAAATAAGCTACATCTGTCTGCATGTTTTATTTTCACAGAACAGTCATTCAGATGATTTCAATGGGAACAAAGAAAAGTTTGACCTTTCTATTTTCTTTAAATAAAAATGGTTATATATAGAATTATATCCCGATATATATGAAACCTATATATTTTTATTAACCAATGTCACCCCAATAAATTCAATAAAAAATAAATAAAATGGTTATAGATGATGTAAATATGGCCAGAAAACATTATTTGCTCTTTGAAACATTAAACATTTTTTCCTCTAAGCAAGAATTGACTGAATTGTTAACTAACGGAACCTGGACCTAGCCAAACTCACCCCCATCCAAACTGGAACTGACTTTTACTTTTCAGTTCCCTGGATAAATGGCTTTGGCAGAAACTGCTGTCACAAAGGCCAACTGTAGAAGTGCCACCATAAAAACACTTGACTGACCAACTGAGGCCTTTTCAGATTCTTCCCTGACTCCTTTTCCATGTCCTTTTTCTGCTGCTCTGCCAAATGACCAGATGTTAATTACCCCTCTGGAATGCAAGAATAACTAAGCAGATGGAAGGTATCTAGTCACCTGGTGCAGTGCGCTACTCGGCAGCCCTGTGATTTCTGGCACCTCATAATATTTTTTTATTACAAAATTTTTTTCATTATAAAACTATTATTACCACATTATAAAAATTTGGAAACTAGAGAAAAGAGAAAAATCACTTATGATCCCATCATCCCAATAAAATCACTGTTTGCATTTGGTGCACTGTCTACTTTTCTTCAGGGCTCTCCGGATGTAGTTAATGGACCACATGTATGTAGCTTATTTGCACCCCACCTCCTCTGAAAAGGATTTGCAGCAGCTTATATAAATGCATATCATCAGACAGACAACTCCATGTGGACATACTCTCTCCAAAACCAGCCTGACCTCCTGTCTTCCCAGTTTCTAACTTATGGATTTCATCCCCTCATCATCCATGTTGAAACTTTTGCCCCCTCTGGAACTACTCTCCCTGAATTCTAACATCCATTTCCATTGATTCTTCTGCTGTTACCCCTTTCTCACATCTGTCCTCCCCACCCCCATAAATATTGTCACCATCTCTAGTCCAGTTCCTTATTACCTACTTATATTCCTAAATTACAATGTTTTTCTGACTCATTTCTCTGCCTCTACTTCCTCTCCTATCCTTTATCTTGTGCTGCTAAATTGTTTCCCTCACTTTCACTGCTCTCCCTGACCCACAGATTGAAAACAATTTTTTTGACTGTCTGACAAAGCATATTCTCTAGTTGAAAATTTTAAAAAATGTACAATCTGTCCCCAATCTACCTTCCTTGCCTATCTGTTACCATCACCCTACGTGAAACCTCTGCAGTGACCCTGTACACACAAAACTAGGGTGGAGTGAGTGGGGCAGGACACGTGCTAGCTCCCTGGTGTCTGTCCCTGCAAGGCAAATTCATTGGGGCCAGCCGAGATGGAGTAACAGATATCAGACCTATCCTCCTGCCATTAACACTATAAAAGTGGACAAAATAAATGAAGCAGCTGTTTTCAAGCATTTGATTACAAACAGAGCAGGGCTGTGAACCTGGGGAGAAGGGCAATACAGGAAGTGTGGTCCACTGTCACCTGGCTTTCTGCCCAGGGGCACTTTTCACACTGGGGTTCAGGGGAGTAGAGCTCATGCTGAGGGCGATCTATGCCCAAGCCTTTATATGCACAGATGGCTCAGGATATAAGAAACCAACCCAGTATTTGCTTTTTTAAGTAGGCTGTTCAAATTTTGGATTTTAAAAATACATAATTCCTCAAAAATTTCCATGGGGACTTCCCTCTCTTTATGCTTTATCTTCCTTTCAAATTTCTCTAGTTGAAAATACTGAGCTATTTTGCCCACAGTTTCAAGGAGGACGCCCATTAAAAGAAGGTAAAAGCACTTTTAGGCAATGATGCTTTCTGTCTCTCTGGGTTCTCTCTACTATGCTTCACTGCCTAGTATAGTAGAGATTAGATGTTGAACCTATGCAGTTTTGCCCCAGTGGAATATGTGAATACCTTTGCAATGTTTTATAGGACTAAGCCACTGGGCCATCAACAATTTTCTGCAGATTGAAACCCAGGGTGGACATCCATCATATGCAAGCCGCCCCAGGCCATGTTACTACCAATACCATATCCAAGAACGACTGAAGTCAAAGCAGTCACCCAGACACTATCCTAGAGAGGGGCAAGAAGTAGCTAAGACTTAAGCAGTACATCCTGGGGAGACATTAAAATGGAGATTGGTAGAGTTTGCTCTTCTCACCACCACCCCCACTTTCCCTTTCCCCCTGTTGTAGTTTTCAAAGGCTGCTGCCTCAAATCCCACCTTTTCCTGCTTAGCTCCATCCCAAAAGATTGTTGAAAGAGTCCCTAGCAGCTGCCTTTTGCAATTTGCTGAACAGATGAAGACCTACTGGGAACAGTGCAGGCTCCTCCAGTTTACTTGAGGGACATTCCTCAGGGCAGGTGTTCCTAACAACCATTGCTGAGCATGCCTTTGGAGAGCACCCCTTGACTCACCCCATCTGTTGTTCAATTCAAGTAAAGAGGCCTATGCTTCTCCCAAGCAGAGCCTTCAGGGATTTCTTTTTTTAACACATCCCACCCAAACTGGAACTTCCTGAAGGCCAAGGCCTGGAATTAGCTATTCTGCCCTCTCTACTGCCTCTTCTGAGGCCCAAGAAGGATCCCGTAGAGAGGACATTTCTTATTCTCACCCTCACCAAAGTCACCACAGGAACACAATCCTTAGGTCACATATTTGTGTAGCCTCAGAAGCCTATGGCAAGTTCAGGAACAAGACAAACCTCAGCCTGAACATTGCACTGCCTGGTGAATACACAGCAGCCAGGCTGACCACAAAGGTATGCACCCTGTCTGCTACCCAGAATGGTAGAGACATTTCTATCCTACCGTCAGCAAGTAGCTTGCAGGAGAGGGCATCATCAAGGTCTCGGGCAGTTGATGGGTCAATGGTGAAGATACAGTCTTTTCTAGGAAAGATTGAAGATATAATTAGTGATGTCGCAAATAACAGAAACTTTACCCCACTGTAGTATAGCTTTAAAGAACAGTTATTTTGAAAATGTACAAATGGTAGGCACAGTGAAGAGTAACTCCTATAATGTCTCTTTGAGGAGGAGTCTTCAGTAAAATGTGAGACTGGGGAGAGACAATGGGGGGAGACAGCAAGGCTCCATATGGTCTCTGTGTCTTTTTCTTCCTCTCTATGAACTGGCACCTACTTCTTCTTGACCCTAAACAGGAATAGGTGTGAGAAGGTGGAAGTGAGGCAGCATCCATGAATGAGACTGCCCAAGAAGAGCTGTCTGACAACAGGGACAAGTCTCTGGTAAACAACTCTCCAATCATCAGTTCTTACTTTTGCTTCCCTCTTCCTCAGTGGTTCATGGGAACCTATCCTTCTAGGATCTATGTGAGGAAAATTTAGTGCTTGTATCTTCCAAAAAAGGGGGTGTGTTAAAAAATAAGTCACCTAACTTGTTATGATATGGGGCAGGGGACCCAAGAATAAGTTTTGTAAAAAAAACTTTAGGCCATACAGTTAGCTGTAATACAATTCTACTTGAAAATGTCCCTAATCACAGTTTGTTTCCATGAACAATTGTATACCTCACCCAAGCTCGTATCATCAAGTATACCCTCTGTCCATTTATCTTCACAAACTATCCCTATGCAATTCCACTCTTACTCTGTGAAGCCCGCAGCCACTCTCTTTTTGCTTTAGAGTTTCTCAAATAACATGCCTCACCCAACCCAGCCATTCCTACCAAACGGCTAAAGATCTAGGCAGAGTCTGGCCTCAATTTTCCATAACTTCTGCCCTATCCTCCCCAGGCACTGGGCTGGAGATTGGGTGTTTAGCAGGTCACTAAAGGCTGTGTTTCAGTACTATGAACATAGGCTGCAACTCATAAGTGTATGTTGAATGAATGAATGAATGAATGCTGACAGGAAGGTGAAATTAATCCTGACACAACAGTAATGAGCTCTAAATTGGTTAGAATCTTGAACTTGATTCACAAGGCAAAGGAGGAAATGTCTGCTTCTTGGTTCTTTTTGTATGCCCCATAAAAATAAGCAATATGCTTTATATGTACTGAGTATCAATAAATAGTTGTTGAACTAAAATTGAAATGTCAGACTTGGTGGTGAGAATATTTTAGTCCTTTCATTATAAGAAGCTGGAAGAACATCCCTCTAGTCAAAATAAAAAAGAATACTCTTAGCTTGGTAGGGGACACAGTTCATTGGTTTACTTGGAGCGTTGACTAGGAAGCTATGTTTTCTTAAAATTAAATGTCTCTGGGTGATTTGAGACTTTTATTTCTATGAATGAATGATAATTCCCACTAAAACATTTCCAGCCTCAAAGTGACCCAGCCATATGTAACAGAGCAAAACTATAAGTCTTCAATTTTTAGTCTGTCAATGTCTTCTTTGAGAGGACCCACAAATTGTTTCTGAGAAAAATCTTAGACTAACCTGCAAGCTCTCAAACCAATTCTTTTCTACTTTAAAAAAAAATCTGCTCTTAAACCAGAAACATAAAAGTCTAAATTAAGACAACTCTGAGGAATAGTGTCCTCAGGAAAGTTTGCTGGAAAAGCATACCATCCAGTTCTTGATCAAGGGTCGGCAAACTACAGTTCACAGGCCAAATGGGGCCTCACCTGTTTTGAATGGCCTGATAGCTAAGAATGGTTTCTGCATTTTTAAGTAGTTGAAAAAATCAAATAGAAGAATATTATCGCATGACATGTGAAAATTACATGAAATTCAAATTTCCGTATTCATAAATGAAGCTCTATTGAAACAGAGCCACCGTTTTTCAGTACAATGGCAGAGTTGAGTAGTTATGACAGGACTATATGCTTAAACTATATCTATCTGGCTCTCAGCAGAAAGTTTGCTGCCCCTTGTGTGTGTGTGTGTGTGTGTGTGTGTGTGTGTGTGTGTGTCAAAAGTTTATTAAGGGAACTTAAGATGAGAAGCATCTTGGGCAGCGGCAAGATGAGGTAGATATCCTGTGTTTGCTGGCCCATTTTTTTAAAATATATTTCTTTATTGATTTCAGAGAGAAAGGAAGAGGGAGAGAGAGATAGAAACATCAATGATGAGAGAGAATCATTGATTGGCTGCCTCCTGCACGCCCCTGACTGGGGATCGAGCCTGCAACCCGCGCATGTGCCCTTGGCCGGAATAGAACCCGGGACCCCCCAGTCCGAAGGCCGACGCTCCATCCACTGAGCCAAACTGGCCAGGGCTGCTGGCTCATTTTAGATCAATGTTTCCCAATGTGTCAAGTAAGTTTTCTAATTTTTAAAAAAGGTCCTGTGATTAAATGTTTGGTAAATGCTGGGCCAGTTTCTTAATTTTAGGACTTTTTTATTGAATTTATTGGGGTGAGATTGGTTAATAAAATTACACAGGTTTCAGGGGTACAATTCTACAATACATCATTTGTATATTGTATAGTGTGTTCACCAACCCAAGTCAAGTATCCTTCCATCACCATTTTGTAGGACTTCGCAGAGCCTTCAATATGCTGGGATTGTACAGTTCTTGCCTAACTCTTTTGATCGTGGCACTTTTTATGGCAGAGCATCACCCAGAGGCAAGGTCCTCAGGACAGCACTCTTTGAGCAATGATGGACTGCACAGGCCTCCAGTGGAGGCCTTGTCCCACAAGCCTACCCTAAGAGACACTGCAAGAAGACAACCAAATGGCTATACTATTCACTGCGGGGAAGCTGATGAGAGCCCTGTCCTTTTCATCACTCCGTGTCTCTTTTATGAGGGAAGTCCATACAGTGCAAGGACTCACTCTTCTCCTGAGTTGATGGTTGGTTTGTACCTTACAGACATGTGAGTTTCATCCTTTTAGATTTCCCTCTCTGCTTTGGCTGTCAGGAAGCTCAGAAAAACATTTGTGACTTGCCTCTAGAGCAGTGGTTCTCAACCTTGGCTGCACATTAAAATCACCTGGGAATCTTCTTAAAATCCTGATTTCTGGGCCTCATCCTCCGGAAATTCTGTTTCTTTGTTACTAATGTTGTGGCCCCACCCCATAACAAAGAAACAGAATTTCCGGAGGATGAAGCCCAGAAATCAGGATTTTAAAAAGATTTCCAGGTGATTCTAATGTGCAGCCAAGGTTGAGAACCACTGCTCTAGAGGATCTTGTTTGTAGTTTAAACTTTGTGAACTAATCTTTATCCTAGCTGTGCCTAATTTTTCTATGCATATATTCCTTTTGCTCCATGTCTTAATTTTTAAAAATCCACTGCACTATATGTATATCGGCAAGCTGCCTTAAATCATTTTTTAAAACCACAGGGTATAAATAAATAAATACATACATACATACATACATACATACTGAAAGGATGCGAGAAGAAAAAGAGACATTCAGTATGGGCTATTAAGAAAACCAACTTCTAGCCCTGGCTGGTTTGGCTCAGTGGATAGAGCATCAGCCTGTAGAATGCAGGGTCCCGGGTTCGATTCTGGTCAAGGGCACCTGCCCGGGTTGCAGGCTCAATCCCCAGTAGGGGGCGTGCAGGAGGCAGCCAATCAGTGATTCTCATCCTTGATGTTTCTCTCTCTCCCTCTCCCTTCCTCTCTGAAATCAATAAAAATATTTTTTTTAAAGAAAACCAACTTCTAGACAAAGCTCACAGAGCTCCCGACAAGTATTTGTGCTGTATCAGTGGACTCCAATTTGTTCTCTCACTATGGAAAATTGAGAGAAGCAAGGGAACAGTGAGTGACCCTGACAAACCCCAGGCCTCAGTGCTGAGAGCCAGTCATTTAATCTGTTGTCATCGCCACAATTACGAATTAGCCATGATGTGGTGCATGAGGGCTCCTTCTGGTTGTGGGCCACAGTAGCTGGGAGCTGCTGGCCTCAGCATTTGGGAGCCCAGCACCATGGGGCATTGTACTGTGCAGCTGCTACACTCTGTTAACATGCTTCGGATTTTACTGGCTCCTTTTCTGGAAGGCTTTGGTCTCACAACCTGCAGGGAGCGGCCTGGCCTGCCAGCTTCTAGAACCTGCGAGACCAAATATTTAAGGAGTTCCGCAACAATGGTTAGAAAGAAGCTAACTCTGACCCACAGAAAATAAAGTGCCAGGTGGGGGAGGGAAAGAATGAGAATCCAGTTCATGAGGCTGCAGAATTCCAATTCAGAGCAATGTTATGTAACCAAACTTCTGAAGGCACATGACTGAAGGGCTCAGTATAACTTTTTAAAGTGACAGAAAACTTCTAATATTATTTTATACAAAGCCATTGACCCGGGAAAAGAACACATGAAGAATAAATAAAAGCCTTCTATAAGCCCTTAAGACCTGGCCAAGAATCCCAGGATATCACAAAAGCATAGAAAGAACTTCTGTTCCTCTGTCACTCACACACTCTTCCTCTGACCTTGCGTCCTCTTCCTCCTCAAGGTGCCAACATCTCCATCCACCTCCTTGCAGCTGGAACAGCTGTCTAGTCATCACAGCAACTTTTACTTACCACTTACTTTGTCGCTATTGACCTCATTGTATTTTGGCCATGGCCTGTATCACAGCACATAAATTGTTCTCCTCAAGGCAACAGTGCTGCCAGATTCATCATCTTTTTGTTGTTGTTGTTAATCCTCCCCCAAGGAAATTTTTTCCCATTGATTTTTAGAGAGAGTGGAAGGGAAGGGGAGAGACAGAGAGAAACATCAATGTGAGACACATTGATTGGTTGCCTCCTGTACACGCCCCACCTGGGACTGAGTATCTAGCCTGAAACCAAAGTATGTGCCCTTGATTGGAATTGAACCTCTGACCCTTCAATCCGCAGGCCAACACTCTAACCCAGGAGTGGGGAACGTACAGCCCGCGGGCCTTATAAGGCCCAAAAAATCATTTGGTCTGGTTCTGCCAAAGCATTAACACTGAGTTAATTAAATTTTGACCAAATACAGCA